CCTAACGGAGCCAATGCAAAATCTTGTGTATTTGGAAAAAAAATAGTTGAATAGGCTTAAACGAAGATGACTAAAACGTATAACGTTTATTTATACATTTATAAGCTTCCATTTAGCTTACATGGTTTATCAAATTTTTCAGTCACATAAAGAAAAACGTATGCACACTTCACTCGACAAGACCTCGAATACAGAATTTCATACAAAACATATACTAAGCAGTTTAAAGTTATACTCTATACCCGGCCAAAACGGTAATTTTACGAAAAGATAGCTTACGGCCTTATTATAAGATTTTGATAAAATAAAATGTCCAGTTCTTCTGCACCTGCTTGAAAACGAGAAAAGCTGTTCGTCACGCAATTAAAATTTTGCGCTTCAGCTATAGAAACCGATAATGACGTAAAAAGAAGATCCTGTCTTAAATCAATACAACGTGGCTTCTGGGTTTCCGTTCCGTTTTGAACGGTCAATAAAGAATTTTATGGCTGATATTTCAGGGAGAATTTTGTAATACCGCACTGCTGCATCGCTGTTGATTGTTTCAACACTCGACGGAGTTAGTCTATCACTAGCACTGGCCAGATGATCCCCGATATGATCCTCAGAATTGGTCTACATGTATCTGATTTACTTCTGACGGTGTTTTCATTACATAGCGTGTTACGTATTGTATTTGTCGAATTTAATATGTGGGTTGGCCCTATAATAGTGAATGGCCCATCAACGATGTATTTATTTTTTTGTTGACCATATTACAACAACACTTGGCGTATTTACGTCCTCAATTAATATGTAATTTGGTCCAGTTACCAACATTAGGCTAAGCTATGTAGATTAGTCGGATGGTTATTAATATGATAACTTTATCTTATCAAATTTTGCCAGTGTTTAAATTGTCAGTATATCAGCTGTGAGGATTATTCCATGGCATTAACTGACAACATCCTTCACAATTCGTGTTAGAAATTTTAGCGAAGCTCTCGCGCGCGAAGCGAACTACCCATCCGAGAAAATTTGGTATTCACTTGACCGTACACCGACCGACCGCCCGTCCGTCCGCACCACAGGCAAACCAATGTAAAATAACTCAATCAACAGGTCAACAGGTATGGCAACCCAAATGCAAAACGAGGTTATTTTGGCGGGAAATCGCATAGCCACCCGCGTCTGAGACAACTAAAGAGTCAATGAAGACAAAAACGGAAAGGGGAAATTGTCTCTGTATTTGTGTTTTCTAAAGTATTAAGCTTAGATTAATTGGCATGTCCACAAATTTGGAATATAGAGCAAGAGAAACACAGAGAAAAGAGAAAGTAGGCGGCAGATCAGCGATGCTCAACGAGAAAAGGGCGACAGAGATCTAGAGCGAGAGATAAAAAAACAAAGGAGACACTTTTTGTTGGAAGAACAACATGAAAATGTTGTTGCGGCGGTAACAAAATTGAGGAATGCTAGCGGCCAACAATGCAAGGTGAAAATGAGCGGCAGTGAAAAAAAGTGAACGCGAACACGTACGACATTTCCTCCATAAATTTTCTGGAAGTTTCACGTTGTAGTCGTGCAAAACAAAGGCAAAGAAGTGTACAAAAAAAGTGTGCTGCACGTGCAAAAAAGGTTTTTTGCTAATTAGACCTATTGTTGTTTTTCACCGTTCTCCGGCGTTGCCTTCGCCGCTTAGCCTTACACGATTTTATATTTTCTTTGAACAAACTATAACGAATATTATCGAGAGCTCCGCTTCGTACATTTCGGTCGTACATTGTCATTGCTCTTTCTATTTTGGAGACTATGATGATAACTCTACGGCACCCATCTGGCGTGATGCCACTGGCCTGTGTATAGGCACGGTATATTTTTTATTATAGTCAGCACTCTAAGGCGAAACTGTGTTGTGTTCTCTGCCCTGCCATGCTACACCGCTGTTTATACGTTGTTTGTCTGTGTTATCATGTGCTGCTGTATTGTTTTCGTATTTGGACTCTTAAGGCCACTCCTATTAATCGGGTCTGGCCTTGCTTTGACCGCTGTCTGTTTTGTTTTGTCTTTATTTTGCTTTCGCATCGGACAATGTCTCGTCCTTTATGTCCCAAAATGGCAGCACGTAGGTTGGGGCCCTCTGGCTTCCCACGTCAGGCGTGTGTGCACAGGACTCTTTACCTTCAACATCTACATCCAGCTTCACACCAACTGCCACGACATCATCCCCACCCACCTTGAAATCACCATCCATAGTCAACCCCAGTTCAACCATAGTCCAGGATATAGCCAAAGCAGTATGTGAAGCAGTTATCAGTCTTTGACTCCCTTCATGGTGCACGTGTATCTGCAGTCTGCCTCGGGGTGAGTGTCCTCACTGGTGAAAACACCAGTGAGCAGATGCCACTGTACAGGGGTCTGTGGCTTCTGCTATAAATTCTCTCTCAGATGAGCCTTCATCTGAGGTGGCTCCAGCTTAATGAAAATTGCTTCCTTTTTAAAATCATTCTATTTTGCTGATTAGCATCTGTAATGCAACCTCTGCCTTTTTCTAAAGTGATGTCAGATGCTCGCTCAAACTGGAGACTTTCCGTAAAGAAACACTCACCGCTGACAACCGTTCGTTAAAGTTAATTTTGCCACCGGGTCCCCGGGTGGACTATAATAACACGTTTTACGTTGGCATGAGCCTTTCTTATCTTCCGCTTAAGTTGGGTCTGCTTGAAATTTATTGGCAATTTCTTTCACTTCGTCGTTGTTTGCTATTTTTTGCATCTTTGTTGATTCGAAGAGCCAAAGGCAAGCGCATAGCTAACGATGGCTAACAGGACTAAAATCTTCGTCATTAAGCCTTGATCCCCTCCTTGCGCCTTTATATCTTTGACAGCCCTCTGTAACAGATCCAGTAGAATCTATATCTTCACTGGGCTCTCGAATAAAACGTCACTGGGTTGGTTTATTTTCCACTGGGTTTTCTTCTTAGTTGTTTAGTTGTGTTCTTCCCATAAAAGGGGGGGCAGGCCTTACATTTTTACCGGCATGAAAACTTTGAACAGCTTGTACATATTTCTGTAGCAACAAGAACTAAACGGCTTGCACTTTTTAATGTGAGATTAATAACCTATACCCTCTGTATTTTTTTTTTGTCAATGTTAATAAATACTTTATATTTTTGCTTTTTGCAAACAAATATGAACAGAAATACACTAGTCTTGTACAATGTAGAAAGTGAACGGGGAAGCAAAAAAAATTAGCCGGGTAGAAACAAATTATTTGTGAGGTACTGAGGAGGCTAAATGATCACTGGGAAGACTGAATTAAACCACTCGGTGGGGTTTCACTGGGTCTGTTACAAAGGAGTGTTCTTTGCGGCGAAATTTCTTAAGTATGTTGATACTGTAAAAATCAAACGGAGACTTCCGTTAAGAATAAAACTGCTCAACCCACGGCCCCCAAAATTAGCGTCTGTTTTATAACAACTTCCGAAATTTAATGAAGTTTGATAACCTACACTTCAAGCCTCTTTAGCTAAGTGCTGAGGCCAACACGTGTGTCCGAAATTGTACTTTTTTCAATCGGTAATAAAAATAGGCCTTGAAGAAAGGAAAAAGTAATACTTCACATGTCGTTTCTCAAGTAAAAGTTGTTTGGATCGCAAACAATTATTAATAATAGCCTATTAATTTATCACTGAGTGCACCTCTTGTAAAACGTAATTAAGAAATTAAAGATTATAATTGTTGTTGTTGTTGCATACTCTCGTGGTCTATTTCTGTAAGAAAAACCTTTTTTTGTTCTTTAAAATAGCTTTTTCCTTTACGTACCTTAGTAAGAGCCGGAAGGAAAGAGCATACGAAAATCATTACGAAGAACATCCTTGTCCGGATATTACAAAGATGGCCTGATATCTTACAAAAAACAATATTTGTCGATGAGTTACTTGAATATTGTTACTTAATATTCTGCAAGCATGTCAAATACTGAAATTTTAACTCCCACTATGAAATTTTTTTAAAAATTTTAATATTCTAAATCATGTGAAATATTGAACCCTTTTTCCATTGCGATCTTTCTCCAACGTTCTATTTCAACATATCTGCTCAAGGAATCTATTTTCCCAAAGAGGCCTATCCTTTGAAAAGTATTCTCGCACATAAAGTTGCCATTGGGCGCTTTCCTTTTACCAAGAAATTCAGGATATTCCGGTTGGGATGTAAATGGAGAACACCATCTTCCTGTAGCATGTGTTGCAGCCGGCCCACGCGTTGGTCTAGACCATTGGAGGCGGTTTAGGGTGTCTGCGACGCAGGCTAGTATACGGGCATTTCAATGAAAAATTCCCTGGAATAAGTGGAACTATTTTAGGTTTCTCCGTTGGAAACGTTCTGATGGAGATGAGTGTTTCATTTACGAGTGTTCGCAAAGGTTTACGAGTTTCATGCTGTTCACGGCGATTTCATGTGACGCCATCTTGAATTATGACGAGAGAAGGGAATGAACGTTGTTATTGCAGAAAACTCCCTCATCGATCAAAATATTTCACGGTATAATATTTTAAACAAAAGGGACACAAGCTGTGGCAAAATCAGATGTGAATCACCTTTTTTGGATGTCAAACCTTAAATCGATACCGAGTGCCCTTGAATCCTTTCGATTCTTCCCGTAACAAATGTCTTATTTTCATTATTATTTTTTCAAACAACTTCCCTTCAAGTAGCTTAGTTCAGACTGAGCCAGAACGAGTATTAGAGTAAACAGCCCAGTTTGGCTTGTGTTGTCCAAGATGTTTGTATACTGATTTCTCACTCGACAACTCTAACTAGAGAGATATTACCGTCGATATTGCTTCTGATATTTTGGTTTTGTGAGCCCTATGGGTGTTGAGATGTTATAACTGTATTTCCCGGCCCGTTCTCGTGGCAATAGAGACCTTAAGATACCAGGACGGGAAATTCTAGGACGGGGGATCATGGCGGAGGAAACCTGGGGAGAGTTCACCGTCGCAAGGCGCCAAAACTAAACTTAAGAAACGCGAGGACGAGATCGAGGACGGATCAGTGTCGTATCATTGTTTACAATTTTTTGACTACTTAATGGCATCATTTAGGGAGGTTCGCGACCTTCTCCTCGACAGTTTCGATGACGGAGAATTATCGGAGGACGAATTTCTTCTTCTCTATGATTTAAACACGTCTAAAAATCCTGATTTTCCGTACGAGTGCTGCGGGGAATTCTCCCTTGATGACCTGGACGACAGCGAGTGTTTTGCCGAATTTCGTGTTCATAAAACTGACATCCCAGTTCTGCTGGAAGCCCTTCAGCTCCCCCAGACTTTCATATGCCGACAAGGAACAAAATGTGATGGTATTGAAGGGCTTTGCATTGCACTGAGAAGAGCTGCATATCCTTGTAGATACAGCGATTTGATTCAGCGATTTGGTCGTCCAGTGCCTGAACTGAGTATGATTTCAAACCTCGTCATGGATACAATTTACCAGCAACATCATCATAGACTTACTCAGTGGAATAACACGCTCCTGAGTCCTGCATTACTTGAAACCTATGCCCACGCAGTATACCAGAAAGGAAGTCCATTGTCCAATTGTTTTGGTTTTATTGATGGAACGGTGCGACCTATTTGTAAGCCTGGAGAGAATCAAAGGATCGTTTATAATGGGCATAAGCGAGTACATGCCCTAAAGTTCCAGTCTGTAGCACTGCCGAATGGTATAATAGCCAGCATGTATGGCCCAGTAGGTAATTAAAATTATAGCAGCATTTTATTGATGTAAAAATATTTTGTTGTGAATCCTGTAAATTCTAATTTAATCTATTTCACTGTTATCTTCCAGAGGGGAAGAAACACGATTCTGCCATGTTAGCAGATTCTGGTCTTCTTCAACAGCTGGAGCATTATGCTTTTTCTCGAGCAGGAGAGCCAATGGCTCTTTATGGGGACCCTGCTTATCCCCTACGTGTCCACTTGCAAGTCCCCTACAGATGTGCAGGAATGACGCCTCGCATGGAGGAGTACAACAAGGCCATGAGTGCTGTGCGCATTTCTGTAGAATGGCTTTTTGGTGACATTATAAACTACTTTAAATTTCTCGACTTTAAAAAAAACTTGAAAATTTCTCTGAGTGCTGTTGGGAAAATGTACATGGCATGTGCCATTCTTCGCAATGCCTTGACTTGCATGTATGGCAATTCCACATCAGAGTTTTTTGCCCTAAACCCTCCTAGTGTACGCGAGTATTTTAATTGAATGCTTTTCTATAGCTATCTGGGCCGGTTTGTTCATACTAACCCGGGGTTAGTTCAAAAATTTGAATTCAGATGTGAAAGCTTAGAAAGTAAATTCAGTTTAATTCTTTTTGTCAACAAGTTGATGAATGGATGCTCTTAACGTCGAAATTAACCCTGGGTTAAGCGCTAACTGGCCTTCAAACAACTGGGCCCTGATCTAAACCAATGGCATATTATAATGATACTAATTAAGCAAGCCATATGGATAATTCACTTTTCTGGGGACAATATTATGTTGGCAAGACCACCCAACTTTCTTCACACCACCCATTTCCCCTGCCCACCCTGGGGTGGGGGTACTCCCCATGATGGCCTATAAGAGGAGGTTCCACCCAAAAGGGCTAACAGATGAATTTTATGGCTTGAAAAGTCGTCCTATTTTTGTGGTTGAATCCTTTTTAACAGAGAGAGCATTTACAGCAGTTAAAGGGGATGCAAAGTTCTAAACAAAGTTTACTAAACATTTGTTGAGTACCCCCCCCCTGGCGGCTGCCCACCCACCATTAACATCCAAAGAATTTTCTCACAAATAACTTTATTAGAACCATTCAAAAGCTGTGGTTAAAATCTCCTTAATTAAATAAGCAGTGTAATAAAAATACTTAAATAGATATGTTTACAACAGCCCCTTAGTTCAAAAACCAAACTTTTTAACTTTTTCGCTCTATGGGAAACAAAGTCTTATTAGGCTCCAGTACCTTTTCTTGGTGAAAACGTCTCTAATTTTGAGAATACTACAAGTAACAACTAAAGTGGGACTCACAAATAATAAAGTTGGAAAGTTAATAAAACTCTCTGTTAACAAGAACTTTAGTTTCAAAACATTGTGTCCCTAAACAATGACCCCAATTGTCTTGATTACATTTTAAAGGCACATTTGACCAAACCAGAACCTGACAAAGAAAACAAACCCAACAACAGTCAGCTGGTCACTTTGTTTTTTCTAGTGCTTGTCAATCAGCTTTGTGACAAGAGCCAGGATCAAATCACTTTGCTGCTTTGCTTGCATGCTCATCATGGTTTGGAACTCCTGCATCTGTTTTTGTTGCTGTTGTTGTTGACTGACCATGAGTTTCATCAAATTTCCTTCTTTTTCCAACTGCATCCTTTTCATTTCTAATTCTTCCTTATGCATTTCCTGAAGATGTTCATTTTTTTCTCTCAGATAGGCTACTGTTGCATTACCACTTGACCTCTTCTTAAATTTTCTTCCTTCATTTTCATCATCATTGGACTCTTTCCTCTTTTTTGTCTGCCCAATACTTTCCATTGCTCTTTTTCTCATGTCTGTTGCATTTTCTCTATCTTGTTTCTTCTGGTCATCAACTACTCTCTGCTCAGACTCAGCCGCATCCTCTCTTTCAATCAAATCTTCCAAAGCTTTCTCCAAGTTTGTCATATCAGTCTCTATACCACTTGCTTTCTCTTCATTTTTGATTTTTTTCCTCAGATCCCTTGCAAGATTGTTATAGCGGTCACGAACTGCCCTCTTATCCACTTTAAAATATACATCTTGGAGTTTGTTTAGGTTTTCAGCTACCTTTTCCCATTTTGCCCCTCTTGCCACAGTACTCCTTTTGGTGCCACAAAACACATTGACAACCAAGATTTCTCTACAAAGCAGCTCATCCTTTTCTTCATTCCAAATCATTGGTTTCCTAAAACATGATACACATCATCACAAAATTAAATTATGCCAGACTGCAGATTAGATCAGCAAAAGCCACATAAGAACATGACTAAATATTAACATTAACAAATGCTTGACATGATTATCATTCGTGGCAAAAAAAGGACGCATATAACATGAAAAGTTCACGCTATAAAAAACTAACTAGCTAGCGTACATGTCAGCTTACAGGCGTTACTGACAAAATACTGTCTGGTCGAGAATCAAATAACCTGGAAGATGTATACATTCTATCAGCTGTTACAGATTACATTAAGTGAGAGCCAAATTCCAACCGGGTAAATGTTTATAACTTTTGTTTCGCAGCTATAGGGATAGTAATAAACACAAATGAAGAACTAATAAAATACGCTTATGTTTTTGCACTTTCCGATTTTATTACTGTTGTGAACTCCATCAGACAATCTCCTTTATGCCATGAACAGATATACGAAAGAAAAAATACTTAGTCGCTGGCAACTGAATTTAAGACCAACTGATGCTATTATAATTTTTTAGTTTAACAATACTCACGGAGAATTGATCCTCTTGGCTGCATTAACACTCATGATGATTGGACACTAAGACAAAAACAAACACATTTTTACATACTTTTTTTCACACGGCAATTATCAGTTTATCGCTTGAAGTCACGACAAATGTCACCTTCATGAAATGCTTTTTCCAAACCTAAAAAAACAGTCGCTTCTGGTATTTTATGAATCAAAATAAAAGGGAGAATACTCACGTTCTCGACAGGACGGCAAAAAGGCATAAATGGCGTCCTCTACGAGAGCAGGACGGGAATGAGCTGGGCGGTAGCTACTCGTGCGCATGTGTCAACGGTCAAATTCACTTCCGGTAGCCGTCCTAGATCTTCCCGTCCTCGTATCTTAAGGTCTCTTGTGTCTTATCTACCGCAACCTGGAACAGCGAAAATCAAAGATGTTTTCTCATGATTTTGGAGGATTTCATTTAAAGAAGCAAAACGTTGAAGTGAAGAAATTTTGATGGTGCTATATAAGTTATTATTTAGTTGCCACAAGACATGAAAGCTACAAAAACCCTTTGAGTGCAGAATTATCAAACTCAGGAAGAAATTAAACACAGTTTGGCAATCACACTTTTTCTGAAGGTGCTACAAGATTTCATGGCCGCAGCATATACTTGTAGACCTCAAATAACCGCAAAAGAAATATACAGGAGGACGTGACATGCCGAAACATATAACTTCCGCTGTGAAACCTTTGAGAACCTTTCTTTCATTCAAGGATTTTAATCTTTTGAAGTCGCTAGCCCCATCGGCTCGCTCCTTTTTTAATTTTATGACTGCCTGTTATTTTCCTTGTTTACATATTACTTAGTTTCTTAGTAGCAAGAGAAAAATACCAGGTCTGTATCGACAGTTGTTGTATTGTGTGAATGAAACCCTCAGTATGTTAGGTACACAACAGTTAATTTCGCTTTTAATGCGATTTCATTCCTGTTGAACATCTCGTTTGTTTTGTTCGATATGTCCACTTGAAATATTTGCCGTTGAGATCGTATGTTATCAAAAGCCATTTTCATCCACAACCACATTAATTTGGCTTATAAAAGTCCGTTCATAATTCGCGACCTCAGATCGCGCACAATTACAGCCGCCGCGCAAGCGAAAGATGCAGTCCGTGTTCGATCTGTAACACAGTTGGAACAACATACTTTTTACTTCAAAATTAACTGTGGGATGATGCAGTGTGGTCCTTTGTGGAATTAGTAAAAAGCTCCAAAGCATTGCGCAAGTGAGTTAACCGGTAAAGTAAAGTAACTAAAGAGCTTGATTTTTCAATATTTATTTACCCGCTGTCGAGGGCCGGGACTGGGTTGTTCATGATAAAACTTATGATATGCAGCCAACTGTCAAGATTACAAGTAAACTTAAAGACGTCGCATGAGTGTATCACCTTTTTCTTTTTGTTATTAGGCTTTAAGCGGGTATTTTTAACCCGATAGAAGATCAGAACTATCATCAGATCTTCCACGCTGGCTACCGCCATTGTTGGCAGCAATTCAAATCCCGCTTCTGTGACTCAGCGTGTGACGTATGATCATAGCTCTGCTCTGATTGGATATTACTGAGAAGGCGTGAAAAATATTCCGCGAAAGCTATTTCTATAAATAATTTTTCGTCGGAAAGGGTTGACGCCAAGGGCTTATATGGGAGATGGAGGCTCCAAGTAATCGGCTCCTGACAGTGGGTCGAGGCAAAGCGGTGGGCGCTTATAGTAGCTTTACTTTGCAACAAAACGCGAAGATGTTCCAAAGTAGAATTTTAACTGTTCATCAGAAAGTGTACAAATTAGTCTGTTTCAATCTCATTGTCGGTTGTTCTCAGTAAGGTCAATTTTGTTACATTCTATAGGCTTATTAAGCCTATAGGATGGGTGGTTATTCGAGTTGGGCGTTTAATCGAATAAATACGGTAAGACGGAGTTACGAGGGTTACGGAATAAAGCCAAAAAGTCGACTAAATCGATGAATTCTCATCAAAAAACACAGTAGTACATCAAAGGTAGGTCTTCTTTATTCATTTTATTAACCAAAAGGTAAAATATGGCGATATTTAACATTCGCAGAGCTCATTATTCTACTTTCCAGGCCCTGGGGGGTTACGTTTTCCTTAATTTCAAAACCTATCGTTTCGCGTATGGAGCTAACCATGTCGCTGTCGGTGTTTTACTTTTGCATTTGCGCTTTTCTTTGTCGCTGTCGTAGTTTCAAACCCATCTTTGAGTCGTTTTTCGCTATTTCTGCTGTCCTATGTCACTGTTCCAAGGTCAGGTCGCTTGTCGGAATTGTACCGTATCAGGGCCTCATTCTCATACAACGACTCAACGATCTCCTGTAGCGTGATACCCACTCGCTTGCGTCACAGATAGTAAAAAATATTCCATCCTGCGAAAAAAAACGTGAGTTTGCATGGGATGTATGTGCTTCTAAATACCGTGTGGCACGATATTTTTGCGGGTTCTAATTTTAACAATTTTTGCTTTTTTTTCAGCGATCCGAAAAAATAATACCCCGGGTGCCAGAGACTTTTCTAGCGCGGTTTCCGGTTTCTGTCAAGTCTTTATAGTGACCCGCGCGAAAATTTCCGCCGCACGCGAGAAAAACCTCTGGTACCCGGGGTAAAAAAATAAGTTCCCCCAAATATAAATTACCGCAAAAAATGTTCCCATAAAAATTTACTCCAGAGTAAATATTCTCTAACTTAAATTCACTACACAAAAATACAGTACTAAGAAATCGTGTCTGCTCAATTAACACTTGTCTCTTTCGTTCAGAAACAAAGCGGCATACGATGAAATACTGACGCACACTGTAGTATTGTTTGAAAATATACATTTCTATTGCACGTCTCAAGTAGATTAAGGCCTGGTTCTTTAAGTCCTCAGAATTTTAAAGAGGGGTTTTCAAATGTAAACTTTTTTTTAATGATATCCCAGGTCTAATAAATTATGGCTAATTATAACTACAAAATCTTCAAATTTCATTTTAAAAATTGTTTATAACTGCATCACGTGACCAGCCACGCCCTGTTTTATCGAGAAGTCCTTTGGGTCGAAGTGCCCACTATGTAGAAGAGGGTCTCAATGGGGTGGTGGCCTTTACGGTTATCGGCTAAAATTTTGGCTCTTTTACGGCTATCGGTTAATTTTTTTCAGTTACGGTTAACGAAAAAGTTAAAAACTAACTTCTTTTTTTTTTAAAAAATTAAATATTAAGTAACCTTTATTTTTTTGGTCTTCGGATCATCTCGGAATGAAATAAGCTATTCTTTTGAAAAATTTTAACATTTGATAGATCATACTTTTTATAAAGTATTCCACCTCTAATATTATTTTACACTTAGAAATGTCAACAGTCAATTTAAAAATAATCTTTGTGAAAAAGGAAAAGCAGGCAGGCGAACGCCCAACTCAAGGCCGGGGCGCGACATTCATTATAACAGAAATGGCCGTTTTCACGCTAGAGAAGGCGGATTATTCGTGTGAGATGGGTTATCCGTTTGATGATTCGCGTCAGATAGGTAATACGTCTTAATTTGAAAATGGAATAGTTTTAATTTTGAATGAACAATCCGCCTGACTTTTGAAGACCGGGGATTATCCGTTCCAGATAGCCTGTGTACAGCCGCTCCCTCCACTCAGAAAATTTCGGAGAAGGGTTGTCTGTGGGGAGGACGCGACTGTACACAGGCTAGTCTCAGACGGATGATCCATTTCTAGCTCTAGTGTGAAAACGGCCAAGAACAAAATTCCCGTGTCCAGTGTTTTTAATGGTAGTGAAGGACTGTACGGAACGGCTGTCTGCCGTTGCCTTGTCCGTAGGCCGCATTTTTCCGTGCGGCTAATGCGTTTCGGGTCACGTGGTCCGAGCGAGTTCGCCACCGAAATGCCTTGACCGAGATTGCGTGGGAAGACGCCGTACAGGGACTAGGCATGGCAATGTCTACCGTAGCGTCAGAAAAAAACAGCAGGGAAATGTTGTTTATCGGCAACGTGTTTTACAAACAGTGACATCTCTGCGTGTGGTTTCATTAGTGTTTTGAGGGCACGACCTCCGGAAAATTGCAAATATTAATCTCAAGGCACACTTTCGCTATGGAAAAAATTAGTTCCCCGAGAGAGCGCCGGAAATGGAGCCTAGGTCTTGGTTAAGGCGCTTCGCCTAACGTGCATACAGAATCACACTAGCCGGGAAATAAAAAAAAGGAACCTTAAGTGAGTTTAGTATCTTCCTTTAAAGTGGCAAATCTAGGAAACACTTTCTTTTACGGTTAACTCTTTTTTACCCTATTTACGGCTAACGGTTAAAATTTTTCAAGTTTTACGGCTATCGGCTAAATTTTTGGCCGTTTTACGGCTATCGGTTAACCCCATTGAGACCCTCGTAGAAAGCAAACCGTTTTCCTTTCGTTGGTCCAAATAGAGGCTACTGATAGTCTTCTTGTAAAAACGGGTGGAATGAGACGAAGTGATTTAACTTCGATTCTTTCTCCTAAAGAAAATTTTAGTGAGGGGAGGACTTTCACCAGTCAATAAACACCAATCGCACCTACAAATTGTAAAGATTCCAACCATTCCAGGCTGATTTCGTAGACACTTCGCAGGGTCAATGTTTTGACATAGAGAAACTGGAGCTACACGTTTAGGAAGTGGTGGGCATCGTTGGTTGCAATTTTCGTACAGCAGAGGGCTTGGTCGATCACGTGACCTGGTCATTTGTAATTGGTTGTCTTTGTCAAGTTTTTTATGGTTAGTTTACCTTACCATCTGTTATTCCTAGAGGATGTCTTTAACAATGGTTTTTGGAAAATTTGCATAAAAATCACAAATGACTTAGAACCAGGCCTTAATCTACTTTAGTACTAAAAAAAAAAAACGAAAATATTGTCAATGCTTGGTACTGGGTACTTTCTGAAAATCACAAAAATTAATTCCCAGCAAGAGAAACCAATCCGTTCTTCTCGCAAAAATTAGTTCCCGCAAAACAAAAAAAATTGCCAATGGGCAAAAATAAACTCCCG